AGAGAGAGAGAGAGAGAGAGAGAGAGAGAGAGAGAGAGAGAGAGAGAGAGAGAGTTGGGGGTTGGGGAATGGTTGTTAGCCTGGATTATAAAACTGCCAATGTCCTTTAATTTACGACAACAGCAGAGAAATAACAAGCATACATTTTGCTCACACACAATAACACCAAACGACAGTGAACGAGACGGCGCGTGCTTTGTGTGCCAGCGAACCCTGAGTTCAAGACAAAACAACTCACCATGTATGGTTTCTGTCGTGACGTTTGAAGTAACCCAATTTCTACCACAGAACTGACTTACAGAACGTGAGTGTAACATGACCCAATGATAACGAGTCAAATCGTGTTAGCCTTGTCCTCACTGTTGGATACAGAAGACGTGGGTGCGATTCCCTTGAGAAGATATGCGGGGTTTTTTTGGTCTTTTTTGGGGGGTGTGGAGCAGGGGTAGGGGATTGTTGGGCTTTTTAAATTGAGTATCTCCGTCTCTCCTGGGATGTTGTTTCCCTCATGTATTCCGAGCTGGCCCTCAAAGGCTGGTCGAATAAACCAGCCACACAGATAATTTAAACGGTATTGGTAGAAGTGCAAACATTTACAATATCACTCCCCCCTCCTATTTCGGTGATCAACATTTTCAAATTGAATGGACTGCTCTTCCGTCTCTCTCCCTATCTGTAGTTTCTGTCTAACCATCTCTCTTTTTGTTAAATTTCTTCCATTGCAAAAGTGGGGGCGGTTATGAGGTTGGGGGTGGGATGGGGAGGGGGGGGGCACAACTGGCAGGTTTAACTTCGTTTCTTTCACTCTCTAGTTTCTGTCTATCTATCCTAGTCTTTCCCTGCTCTATGTGAGTATCATTGCGTCGTTGTAAATCAGCACAACTACTGTCTTATTGCTCACGAAAAACAAAAGAAGAAAACAACAGGGAAAGGAAAAGAAGTTATTAAACTAACATGTCCCAGAACACGAACTTTTCAGTAAAACAAAAACCTCACTCCACAATTAAGTACCCTATAAAAGAAGGTTTGGCTTTCCGTAACGTCATGATGCGTAACTGGCCTTCTCTCGAGAGACCGAACAGACAGATGCTTTTGATACGGCTGGTGCTAGTGTCGGGGGAACAGTCTTTGTGGTTTGACTAAACAGATCAATGACGGCAGACCCTATTGTCATAGCCACTGGCTTCTTATTGGGGATTACAGAAATGCTTTGTCTCGGCCTCGGCGTTTGCCTGCACTGATGTTGAGAAACTGCGAGGTCTCCTTGTTACTTCATTCCTTCTAGATTTGATTTGATGTTCAGACCTCGTCACAGTTTTCTTTTTTGCCTTTTGTTTTGTTTCCTTTGTTCTTGTTTTCTTCTTCCTTATAAAGTTAAAGCATTTTCTTACGAATTTATTTCATTTCATTACTTATTTAATTCATTAATTAACTAGTTTATTTATCCTTGTTCGGGAAAAGGGAGGGGGCGTATTTGGGTTTTTACGCATACTATCCTGGTTTTGTTGTTTTTTGTGTATTATGTTCTTGTTTCTGCTTGTTTGGTATTGATGACATCTATATAACTAGCTAAATCCATTGTAAATCAGTCGCCGCTAAATTCCGAGCCAGCTCACATGTATGCACGCGTGCGCGCATGCGAGCAAGCAA